GATAGATTTTTTGATGGGATTCCTATCTGGACTTCTATAGACGGCTAATCAATTACAGTAGAGCATCATTTATCCGAATCAATTGGGGACTGAGGTTGTTCGGATAACAGATTATGTACAAAAAAATATATTAACCTATCCCATGTTGAAAATTTTCTCCATTGCGTTTGTTTCATTTTTAGGAAGCTTGATTATTTAGGGTTCTCCAAACAGTCATATATGATATTTTGGTTGTAGCCATCTGCAGCTTCCCTTGATGACATGTTTTTTATTAATTTAAATACTTTTATGTCTGTCGGTTATGCTTTTAGGTCTACCAGAACATTTAATTTTGCCATAACGTTATTTTTGCTGTAAAAGGCCTTACAGCAGATGTAGAACGATTCACACTAGCTGCTACTTGTAATGACTTGCCAAATCCATGTACTAGATGTATTTTGTGAATTTCTTGTTCTATTAGATTGCAACCATGAGGCATTGTTTCAAATCCTTTCAGCATTTCTAAACATTGTTTAAATTGCCACTGTATTTGATTTCAAAACTATTATTGCCCTCTATTGGTTAATAAGAAAAGCAACAAATTACTAAACATTACTAATTTAACAGGCATAAAAATGAGAAACTAGTAATTTTGTTACAGTCCAAAATTACTAGTTTAAAAGTTTAACTTTTTAATCATTTTAATATAAAAATTAACCAAAATGTATTAAATTACATTTAGAACCTGCAGCTATAAGTAATTTTTAGTTTTTTTTTTTACCTAAAATTTAAAAAAAATTCAAAAAACAGGCATGTTTAATGTTTTGTTGCAGATTTTATAAAATACTAGCTTACCTGTCGCACATTGTTGCGATCTCAGAAGAAACGAAATTCAAGCAAACTCATTATAATAAAATTCAATTTACATTTTATCATTTTTATTGAAACTTATTATTTTTCATTGGAAAAACATTTCAAAGCGTCGTTTCAACTCTATTTATTGGAGTGCTTGTGGATACACAATATTCTTTGTTTTTCCGTCTGGTAAATCAGACGAATAAATCAGAACGAATAAATCAGAAGTCCTGTGTTTCTTTATGCAGCGAGAGTGTAGCAAAATGATGTCAGAAGCAGTGTTGGCCAATTAGAAACCAGTTTCAGTGTGTTCACTGTAAAGCACTTCTCGAGCACTGCATAAAGAAACGCGGGGAAAGTTTTCCGACGCATGAGCTGGCCACACAGTTGTCTATGCGAGAAGCACGGATTCTCCAAAGTTAGCCCACACACTTGCAGCGATTGTCAGAAATGCGATAGTCCCCATTTTTATATATATATTTTTTAATCCTTTACAATTTTAATTATTTAATTGCTCCTTCCTCTCTTCCTTAACATGTGAAATTTCTGATAGTTGGATAATAAACCCTTTTATTGTAATTTGTCTTTTTAAATCATTTTGAGTTGATATTAAAATTTGGAAAAGGGGATCCCTAGATCGGTAAAACAGGCAAATTTCTTCCTACGACTTTGGTTGTTGTTCGGGATACAGTTAGTTTTAACAAAGTTCAAGCGAATACGTAATTATCAAAAAAAAGTTGAAATAAAGTGATTAAACAAAAATTATTACAAATATCGTAAATAACAGTTCACAAATGCATATATAAAGATATTTTTAGGAGGGGAGAAATGGTCTTCACAATTTGAAATCCATCGATCTGAGGATAAAATGCTCGTACACACTCGCGCCATCTATCGTAGGATAAATGTACTATGCCAGAAACCTTCACAGGAGTATATTAAACAACTTCCCAAAGTTTCATGGCAATTGAATAAACAGTGTGGTAATGCATGAAGGACAGACACACACACACACATTCATTTTTATATATGTAGATTTGATTAGTTGCTTACAAAGGCAACATTTAATAAAATATTTTTGAAGACCTTCAATAAACTTCTATAAAATTAACAAAAAGGTACCATTTAAAATTAATTTTATTGATATAAAGTAAAGACTAATGATGTAACTACCAAACACTTAAGGATTAAAAAATGCCTATTCAATACTTAAAGCAAGCTTTTCTATTAATTTTTTAATGAACTATTGAATTAGACTTTAAATAGATCTTGTTTATATAGTAATTCAAATACAGTTTTCACAATTTTTTAAATTTGCAAAGCAAACATTTACAAAATAACCATTTTGAAAAGCTGAAACTGATGCCAGCTTAAAATTGATAATTTTATACAATTTACACAAAAAAATCTAATTTAACTTTTTTAATAGCATTTATTTTGACACAGTTCAATATCAAGTTTATTTCATTTAAAATATGGTGGATAAAGATAATTTCTTCATTTTTATAAAGTCTAGAAATATCACAAAGGCTATTTGTAAAAACTATTCTGATCCGATTATATTCTAATAATTCACATCTCACTTCTATTGTCATACAGTAAACAAGTTTTCTAAAGAGATCTTCAGAAGAAAATTACTTATTTAAAGTGAATGAAGTTTGAAAATTTTAATTTTGTGTCTTCAGATACTGATATAGGAAGTTCTATATCCAAAACTTGCATAATTCAGAAAAATTTCTCAAACTAAGATTCCATTAACATATCTGCAACACATTTATACCATGACAATTAAGACTTAATTGCAATATGCAGTCAGTGTCAATACTGATATTTTTAACTTTTTATAATCTTAAACATTAACCCAAAATTCATAATTCAGCTAAATACCCATAGGTTATTTTTAGACCAGTGGTCATCTACTGTCCACCAGTATCCATGATCATGATTCAGATGGTCTCCAGACAGATTTGTCTTTCCAAAATGCAATTTTTTGTTAAACCAGAGAAAAGAATATTTTCACATATTGCATCTCTTACATTAGGTTATAGATGGGGTGAAAAACCTTTTTGAACCCATGTGCCACATAGTAAGCACACTTAGCTTTAAAGATGTTTATGCATGCCCAAGTTTTAGACTTCAAATAACAATATTTAAATAAATCAAACACACACACACTAATTAGAATAAATGCAAAAAAAGCTAACTGAAAAAAGGATAATCAGGAAATAAGCCTGAAGGATAATTGAAAAAGACAGATAAATCAAAATCATGTGATATGTTGCATACCAGATGACTTCTCCCTATATGCCACAAGTTTACCACTCCCGGGTTATAGGATAGACAAAACATGGCACATACATAAAGTGATATTTACAAGATAAGGGAGTGGCAGGGAATAATTTGGTTTATCTTACATGATTTAAGTCGGTGTTTTCCAACCTTTTTTGTGCTATGCCCCACCTAAGCCTTTCTAAAATTCTTTTGCCCCCCTAACATGTACAGCAGCCACACAGTTAACAAACTCTGGAAGAGTCCATTTTCAAATTGCCCCCGTGGGGCATAGGCCCCATGTTGGGAAACACTGATTTAAATGGTCGGCAGATCAAAACCATTTTAGACTAGACTACAGTTCAAAAATCAAGGTCTAATTGGAGAATGTCCAGAAACACTACCCACAAGCAATTTTAATTTAATTTGTATTATGAGGAGTTAAAATCAAAATGATGCATATAGGACAACTGGTAATGCAGATACATAGCTACATATTTTTCTGCATAGTTTGAGATTAGTGTTTGGAAGAAAAGATTTGTAATTATTAAATTTAACACAAGATGGCAGCATTGTCTACCTCTATTCAAAGTTCCAATTAAATTCACAACTGTAGCCTAAGAAATCTGACTTATTTTACATTACATAATCTTAAAAAATCCAGCAAGTTCACTCATTCAGCTTTACAACTACTGCATATTTGTACTGTTGCATTATTTCTAAATTTTTGCCATAACTTTAAAATACTTGCAATTAACCTTGCAATATTTGATATGCTGGTTGGAAGACCTAGTACTGTACAGTACTGTACATTATAGTTTGTAAGCTGATAGTATGCTGGTGCCTTAACATGAATACAGTATCACAAATTTTTGCAGTTTACCGCTACACAATATGAAAATACAAGTTCCACTTAGTGCAATGACTCCAAAGACACTATAAAGAAAAGCAGTATTAATAAAACAGCAAATAAGTCAATGTAGACTTATATTCTGAATATGGTATCATTTGCAGTTATTATAGATTTAATAATTGCAAATGATTATGATTTCCCAAACCAGAAATTGAACATCAGACAAAACTATTAGTCTCGGGATCAGAGTCAACCTGTAATATACAAAAAGTTCATTAGTACTATAGCCAAGCTACCCGTAAGAGGCTAAAAACGATACGAGCATAGCTTATCTTCAGTATGCAAAATTACTAAAAGTATTCCCGAAGAGAAATATTGGTATTATAATCCCTCAGAATATAAGACAACATATTCCTGAATGTTTTAAATAAATTAAAATAATGTAATCAATTTCAACAAAATTACAGAATTGAAATTGTATTAAGTTTTGCAAAATTATTTACTTTTATTACATTTGAAATCTTTTGAATTTATAAAACGGAAATTTTTTTCCCTTTATCAAACCTTAGTCACAAGTTACTCAAGGCTAAATTTAAAAAGGGATATCAAAATATATTAATTACTACATTCGACGTGTGCATTAATTTTTATAAATAGTCTTTTTCGAATCGGCATTAAGTCTTCTTTTGTCCTTCGATTAACTAAATAAATGAATTGAAGACAATGATCCCGAACATATTTTCCATTCCACCTTGAAATTGCGGTATGCAAACTTCATATACAAATGGAGAATTAAACCATATAATAGTTATGATGCAATATAAAGTGAGCTTTGGGCAATTTATTTTGAAAATATTTACTCTCTCTTTTAAAACCAAAACTGTGAAAGGGGGGAGAATAACCAATCCAAATTCAACTGGCTTCGACCTGTTAAGCCTAACTTTTATTTATGGCAGTTACGTGTATAAACTGTCTCGTAATTTTTACTTATATAATTGTAATACAATAATGAAATTAATAGAATAAATATTTTAAAAATTCTTACCATTTCTTATGCTTAAATTCCACTTTTTTTCTAACAAAACAACTCAACCCACAACGCCTCCGATCTTATGAAAGGAAAAGATGACGATTTACTCCCCTGTACGTATTCATCCGACAGCGGTGCCCCGTACACTTTAACAGATTATTTCATTGGTCGATTTAAAATAAGTCATGATGTTAAACTGACGTCACGCATTTTAACCAATAGATTTCTTTATTACAAATGACCGGTAAAGGAATAATAATCTAAAGTTCGGAAACTTCTTTAATCTTAAATGTAATATGGAAAACACATGAATATAATTAGGAATATTTTAATGTAAATAAGAAAGAATTTAACAAAAAGCGATTCGAATTTTTATCAATCGGTAAGGCACTATTTATTATTGGGGTGTTGTAGTGTAGAGATGAGTCAATGACTGTGATGTGGCCGGATCGGACGTCACCGATCACGTGACAGCCTCCCCAATCGGTGGAGGGAAACGGTAGCATTACCTTTTATGGAGAAGAGAAGTATGTGACTCAAAGTGAGATGACGCTTGCAACTTTAAGACCCACGTGTTCGAGCACTATAGAAATGGATTTCTATAAACACAATCAACAAAAATTTTACCTGTTAAAAATAATTCTTAAACTAAATAAATATTTTTGATCCGACTTAAATTGCCCTTACTTCTTTTTTTATCATAGTATTTGATTTAAAAAAATTAGAAAAATGCAATTTAAATTACTGTAACTTGTTAAACTAATATAATAAAAGATGCAATACAAATTATAGCAAATAATCATTTTATTTCGTAATATAACGAAGTTTTGTCCTAGTTCTAATGATCGATTAGTCAAAACGTTAATTACGAAATTACGAAAAAATTATCGCAATAGCATTTAATCAGTTAACTTTGCCTTCTTTGTCGACATTTATAGATAAGGTTTCAATTTACACAAAAATTATCTTCTATGCTCAGATTCGACGACTATAAAATTCCACATTAATTTTAAAAATTCGGTTTAATTATATAATTTACTAAGAAATGAAAATACGAATTTCCTGAATTCGATAAATTTTAGCAACGTGCCTTTCCGCATTCAACGGTATAAAATATTAATTTAAACAAAATAAATAGTTCCGTATAACATTTACATTATATCAATAATTAAAGTAGGTTAAAGTAACAAACTATTGCCATTTTTGGTTATATTAAAATTACAGAATTTGTGGCGCAATTTTCGAAAGACGGAATTAATATACGTTAAACACAATCAAAAGTTTTTCATAATAATCACAAACTTATATCCGAGAAAAATACAGATGTATTTAACTAAAATTACAGATATTACAAAAAACTGTTTATCGGCTTCTTTAAAATTAAATACAAAAAAAATTTTTATGCGTATGTCACTTTTCAAATTAATAATTTATTATTATTATTATTATTATTTACTTTTAA